ACACACACACACACACACGCACACGCACACGCACACACACACACACACACACACACATACACATCCAAACACGTAAAACCATGTTTGTTTCTGAAACCAAGTTCCCTTTTTTGAAACAGAAATTGAAAATGAAAACAACAGACAAGAGCACCAGTCCCTCATACCTGTGTCGTTTCCTGCAGTTGTATATTAGAGGGAAATCTCTGGTTCGAGCTTATAAGTTCTGAAACAGAGTCAAAGATAACGCCATATATAAATTGCTTCTTAATAATTGCAACATGACTATGACGTCACTTTTCCGTGAAAAATATAAGATAAGGTGAGATGAACTATTGTAATCATACATAAGAAGAAATCACATTCCAGTCGTGTTAAATAGGCCTGCTTTTTAAAGTGACAGCTCTATCGGAAGAATTTGGATCTAAGGGTACCCGTCCACAGACCACGGAGAGCGCAGTATCTTTTCGGAAACGTCTCCGACGGGGATAGACCAATCTAAATGCTTTGTGCCTGTAGACCAAGTAAAAATTTAGAAAATCTGGGGGGTTACAGCCCCCTCCCCACCTCCCACCCCTGTTTTAAACTGTAATTTGATATTTTGCAGTTAGGTTTGAAATTTTCATGAAAATAATTGACACAAATAATTGATTTGCAACAGTTTTAGTGGCTATATGTGTGATCTGCAGCAAACGATACGCAGTCTGACCCCCCAAAGAAGTGCATCTGAGTGCGGGAGTGCGTCTCCGAATAGTTCCAGGATGCTTGCCGGAGACGTCTCCGAATATCTTCTGCCCATGGAAAGCAACGCAATACAACAGAACGTACTTTTTCCGTCTTTATCCGTGACCAAAAATAGCGCAACAGATTTCTCCTATTAAACATTGAATTGCGACCGTCTCTGAACCAACAAACCACGCAACGTACAGTAAAGGAAAGTGACACAAAAAAAGTTTTTTAAAACATCTGTATCGCAAGCGCTATTTTTTCCCGTTGTCCGTCGATAAGGGGACACCACCCATCCCCTTGAACAAGAACACACTACACGATATCGTTTTCTCAGAACTGGCGATACTACTTTTCTTCAGTTCTTGTCCTCTCTTTGTGAACTTGCTTGGTGCATGCCAAGCAGAGAATCGAAAGTGCTTCTTTGCTTCCTGAGATATTCCAAACATTTCTCATCGTCTGAAAATACTTGATCTATTATGCGACATTCACCTTATGTTTCCCGGGCTGTTGTTAAAAAAATTGGGTGAATCCAAAACCCGCTGTGCTATTGCGATAGTTTTCCCATATAGATTTATCACCACCACAAAAATATTTTTTGCTTCCTATTTAGCGCCATCTTGTTCGCTTACCACGACTGGTTTTTCCCCGGACCCCGTGAGCTTACAATTACGTACGGAAACAGACAGATTCTGACGAACTTTTTCCAGTTTTTTGTGCCCACCGTTGTTTTGGTGAAAAGCTAAATTCAAAGCGTTGCTGGAGTTAAGTTGGGAATCATGGACCTTCCTTTTATCGCCTCTCTCTTTTTTAATGTAGATGTTTTTACGTTCGCATCAACCCAATTCATATAATTTAGGAGGCGAGCTTCCGATCCTGCCCGTCATGGCCAACCCGGGCTGAGAGGGATACCACAACATATTAGTAGAACGACCGAGATACTTGATACAAATTTTCTCCCTAGTTGGGAATTGAACTCGGGCCTCCTGTGTGCGACAGTGAAGCAACTAACCGGTTCACCACAGACGCCGGTACCTTATCCACGAAGTCTACAACTACTCATGACCCTGTTTTAACGATAGGTGTGCAAACTTTAGGTTCCCCTTCACGTCCTAACTTGTAGTCCGATTGACTGATGGATCATCACTGTAGACTTCACAAACAGCTTCTTCCACTCCTCCCTGTTCTCAATTTCCCTAAGTATGATAATCCACTCACGGCCACCCCACTCTTTGACGTTGTCTTCTTACCATTTCCCTGTCTCTCTCTCTTAGCATCTCCCCCCTCCCCCATTCTTGTGCTGTTATCTGAATACGTAACGCAGGATAATCTTGGCTCGTTTAGATGACCGTGTGGCGTGCCCGGACCACTTCAGTCCTCGTCTTTCCACCGAGTTCAGGAATTTCTTGTGCTGCCCGATGGCGTTTCCGATTCTGGCCCTCACTACCGCATTGGTTATTGTGTGAAAACGCGTACTGCCTTTGCAGGTTTGTGAACAGAGTTACCCTTTGTTACACCTACCCCTTTATGTGACCCCGCCTATCCTCACTGACCCCACCCACTCTGCGCCATATCCTTTCCCCTCATCCCTTTCTAAAAATGGAACCTTCGAGTTTAAGGTTCCTCTCCAAAAGGACCCAGCCAAATGGGAAATTGTGTAAAGTGCCTTTCTCAAGGACACAACGTTGGACCAAGCTGAGGCTCGAACCACCGAACCTGCTATCTCATGATTACGAGTCCGGTAACCTGTTCACTAGGCTACCGACGCCACCTAATC